TGTCATGGCAAGGATAATATTCAGAAACTCAATCCCTGTTTAGGGCTTGTATCTCATTACAAAAATATTTATTCCTTAAAAAAATACACAAATGTAAAATAATACATTTTCTATTATATCCCCACATACTTTCCAAGTATGCAATTTGGATGTTGAGCTACATCAAAGGATATAACACTTTTTATTTCTCTAGCAACTCTGTATGCTATCTTTCTGCTCTAATTTCTTATACTTCTATAATTTTAAGCATGAAGAATCAGTAGTGAACTTAGGTACAGTGGCAGGGGACTAATGTACTAACTGTTTGGGAAGTCCCACTTAATATTTGCTCATGCTGTGGTAGCAATGCTGACTCAGGACCTGATCCTACCAGGTGCTAAGCACCATTTCGTTTTGTTTCAGCAGAAGCAACAATACTCAGAGTTAACCTCTAGGATTACACCACCCTGGGCAAACTCAGCAGTGCATAGAATAGGTACAGGTACACAAATAACAGCCAAACTACACACTGTGTTAATCATTCATGCCCTGATCTTGCAGACATTTACACACATTCTTACTGTAGGTAGTCCTGTTAACTGAAATAGGTCTACACACAGCAGAATTGGGTGTATGTGTTTTTGTTTGCTGAAGTCTTCTATTGCACTGGTAAAGGTATGCTTCATGGAGAAGGGCTTGCACACACTTCTTTTGATGGGGATTGTAAGATAATGTTGTGTTTATACAGCTTTGGAATACAGCCTGCATGTTTTGGAAGAAAAATAGGGAAAGGAAAGATAGAAAAAGAAGAAGGAAACTCAAGAGTGCTAAGGCAAACTGTTAAATGGCACATCATACCTACTTTGTCATTCATTTAGATGATAACATCACAAAGGCAGAACAGAGGAGTTCTGTAAACATATACCATACAGTACATCAGCCACAGGAAATTAAAATAAGAAAACAACCCTGTAATTCTTTTCTTTCTGTATTGATATTCTTGTAATTGAAAGAGATTGCCTAGCCACTAATCATAATGCTGTGGTTTTTGATTTGTATTTTTCTTCTGTTAGGAAAAAAAAAAAATAAAAGAAGGAATGGATGTAAATTGCAGTGGTTTGCAAAAGAAATAGTTCCTGAATGCAAATGAGGGACAACGTGGAAAGTGGGTTCATAGAAACTTAGAAAATATTAAATATAAAAAAGTTTCATAGGTTACTTTTTCACAGTCTAGGAAAAGATACAGTGAAAAGAGGGATTTTTTGTTTTTCTTAAAAAAGTTAAGGCGAGCAGTTTTTTTGTGGCAAAATGCTATCACTGAACCAGTTTCTGACTCTACTTTTTTTTGTATTCCCTAATAATGAAATTGAGAATGTACATGTGATGATGTAAGTAAAACAGACAGGGGTTTTGCTTAAAATGATACAAAAAAACCCTCCCTTAATGTTCCTTACAAAAATCTCTCTCTGCTTGACCACAGAGCAGACCTCTTCCTTTGTGCCTGATTGTACATGAATTTCCACCGGCAGCTTCCTATCTGAGGGCAAAGGGAAAACCAACCCCTTTGAAGCCCAAAGCAGCCCTGGAAAACCAGTTTACATTCATCGGCCTAGGCTAACACATCTGAATTCCCCATAATTTGGCTGCAGGCTAATGGCTAGAAGGGACAAGCTGATGTCAAAGCATGGCTGCTGTCCTTGTGGAGGAGGATGATTGGAGTAAGCGTGTTTCAGCTGGTGTAGCTAAAGCCCTCGAAGTTCAGACTCATTTGTTTCTGTTTTGTGTTTTTTTCTGACCTCAGACATGGAACTGCCTTTGACCGGTAAAGACAAACTCTATGCAGGCAAACCATTAGCTTTTCTGGATCTATCAGGGCCCATTAACCATGAAGTTCATATAAATATACAAAAAAAACCGGGCCTTCCTAGGCACTCAAAGTTAGCTACAAGTACTGAGAAGTAGGTATTTGACAGTATTAAGGTTTAAGGCTTGTGCTCTGCTTCTAACCACTAAAGGGCCACTTCTGGACTCTTGCATGCCACTATCTCCCTGCCACATTGTGCCTCAGATGGTGCAGTGGTCTCAGAGACATTCTGGTCCCAGCCTCAGCAAGCATCTCCCAGAGCCGGCCACTGAGGGAGTCATCCCCAAAATGCTGAGTCAGTGCTGAACCAGAAAGTCATCTGACAAGGAAGCACATGGCTGAAGAAATGCATGGACAGAGCTGGTTAGGATAGAGATGACACCCTGAATTTTCCAAGCAGAAGGCTTTGGGGAAAAAATGTGCATATGGGAGAGAAGCAGCAGGGCAAAAAGCATTGGGCCGGGTAGACACTGGGAGGCCAGGTGGCATCACACCTGGAGAGGAAAGAGTGGTAATTGTGGTAATCAAGGAGATGACCGGCCAGGCCAGGAGGAGATGGCTGAAGTATTTATTTTTGAGCATTACTGATGAGATGAACAGTCCTCAGAGTGAGAGAACTATTGCAAAGCATGCCTGGCTCCTACAGCATTCATGGGTTGGGGAAAGATGGAAAGAGCTTCACCCTTTATGTTGCAGTGCTTTAGGGTCCTAAATGTGCCTGGGGACAGCCTTGCCAGTCCTGTTGAAAATTCAGGGTCTTGTTTTAAGAAACGTCAAGATTTCTGGGGAAAAAATTAAAAAAACCCACCCATACAATCCAACTGAATAAACCCCAAATACAGGTTGCTAGTTTCCAACAAACAGCCACCAGATCTGTTGTCACAATGAGGGGCTCTGTGGCCATTCCCCTCTTTGATAAAACCGAATCACCTAAGCCTGAGTCAAGGGATGATATGCAGAGCTTCTTTGGGTGAATTTGGTCCTTCTCCCATCCCAAAGCCCCTGGAGGAGGTGGGGGGAGTGTGCAGAAGTCTGTTAAATCTAGCCACTGCAGTGATATGGAGGCCAGCAAAATTTCTGCAGATGTCATACAGATGTGGCTGTCTTTTCCTACTATCTGCTTGCTTTTCTTTTTCATGACTGTCACCTGGGCAGTGGTAAGAAGTTACACTGACCAGCTCCATACTGACAGCTGAGTAATCTAACACAGGAACTGCCTTTGCATGATTTTGTGTGTATGTTTTTAGTGTGCCTCATGTTACCACCACCATGAACAAGTGTCTTTTTTAGTGGCACAGAAAGAAAAGAGTACAGAGCGAGAACTCTTTAATCGGATGCTCTGAACTAACAATTAATGCAGTAAAAGCACCATCCAAGAATGAACAAAGATATCATAGGAACCACCTCAGACTGAAAAGAGGTTTTTTTTTTGTTTTCCTTTTTTTTTAAATCCTTTTTTCTTTTCTGTTTCAGTTGCTGTTATTGATTTTTGAAGTCTGATAGTTTCAAAGACACTTCAAAATGATATTTGGTACTTTTTAACACTATCAGAAAACACAAATCCTGATTTTTAATCCCACTTCTGTAGTTATAAATCCAGACTAACTCCACCAAAGTGAATGAGGCTGCACTTAAGCAAAACCAGTGTGAGACAAGAATCAGGATCGTAATATCTGTGCTAAAAAGCTGTCTGCTTTTTCACTGTAGTTAGAAGAATCAAAGGACTGAGAAACAAAGAAACATCTACTGATTTTGGATGCCTTTCCCTTTTTAGACTTACACCTTGAGCTGTTTTTAACAGGCCTTATTTTCAGAGGACAGGTGAAGAAAGATTTTTTTGGAACTCAGGCCTCTTTGAAGTGTCACACATGGGAAAATGAAGCATCCAAAACCACCAGTGGTGTTTGAAAGTGTTAGCCTTGCAGCTGTAGGATCCCCAGAAACAGCTGCTCCAACAAAACTCCAGTGGGCTTTCACAGGAGTTTTACCTGGGAAAGTAGGGCAGGATCACACTGATCACCTTTCATTGTGTAGATGCACTGGAGAGATGCTCTATGAGAAGCTACACTTCCCTAAGAATGAGAAAATAGAACTCTGGCCCTGCCCTGCCCCTATTCCAGTGCTGAGAATCTCAGAACTGAATCTGCTGGGAACAGGGTCAGACTGTGAGAGAAGTTCATTTATATTCTAAGGAAACAGAAAGTATCTCTCATCTACTGGAGTTCAGTGGAAAAACTTCATGTATAAACATTGGCAGAGTTACTGAAAGGCAAGTAATTAGATCAGTGACTCCATTTCAGTTAGTGTGACAGCTGCATTTTTTCCATGTCAAACTAATTCCAACTGTAATTTGGGGAGATAAAGTACACATACAATACTGTAATCTGGAAGATCTATGTAAGGCAAAATCATCATTCATATGTTTTCTTGAAAGAATAATTAAGGTCCATTTTTGGTATCACCAATAAGCAAAATGGCTGATGGTTTTTTCTGATATGGCAAAATAAATTGGAAAGTTACTATAAAAAGAAAACCAACTACGCAAACTTTTTGGGAAAGACCAGTCTGAGTTTTAGCAAAGTAAAACAGTAAAATGATCTAAGCCTTCCCCCAAGAAATAAAAAATAGGATCTATAAAATAAAGTTTAAATGTGATTTTTCTTAAAAAAGAGAAGCAATATTTTTTTTAAGGCTTCTGTATCTGGCTGCTGTGAAGCTCAGAGTCCCACAGAATCCTAGGAATCTGATCAAGCATGCCAGATATCCAACAAAAAATGTAAAAAGTGTTTCCATTATATATATAAAATATATATATAAATCAAATAAATATGAAAACATTTGCTCCATTTCCCATTAATCTCTCACTCTGCAATATTAAGGGGAAAAAAAAGCCAACAACAAAAAAAGAAGCAACTTTTCCCACCCCTCCCAAACCCCAAACAGTAAGTCTGGAAAAATAACTGTGTGCTCCTCTTCCTGAAGAACTAGAAAGCAAAGCAACCCAACTGCAAGGCAATGGAGGCATTCACTTCCAGTTCACAGTATTGCAATTAGAAGTACAGTGAGGTCTAGGTAAGTGACGGAGCAGGAGCTCCCCGGAGTGGGGAAGGAGTTCACATGATAATACAGCATTGACAGCGCTTTTTCTTTTGTGTACCTGGGGCAGCTTCCAAAGGCAGGCTCTCTTCCTTACCCTCGGGAGAGGAGGGCTCTGTCGTGTCCGACAGGGGCCTGCCAGAGACCAGCTCAGCAGCGTTCCCATCCATGGTGGAGATGTCTGTCACTGTCTTCTCTCGCAATGACTTCTCGTCATCTTCATCAATCAGGACTAGCTCTGCCTTGATGGTCTCATCATAGCCCAACACTTTCTTTGTCTCCTCTTCATCATCAATGTTCTGGTAGCCCATAAATATCATTGTCACTGGCTGGTCTGTGCTGGCCTCTGGGGCTTCACCACCACAGGGTTTGTCTTGGGTCTGAGGGTTCACAGCATGCCCTTTGCTGGGTTTGTGTATCATTTCCAGCTTTGCCTCCTTGAAGAGCATTTGCTCCTTCATATGGCTAAGGTTTCCATCGGCTACCTCATTTCTGTCTGACACGGTCATTGTTTCATACCCTCCTTTTACACTTGATTGTCCAGCTTTTTGCATAAGTTCATCTACGTCCTTTGAGCTTAATTTATGTACTCCATTTTCTACCACTGTGCCACCAGAGTGAACCTCATAGACTACCTTGGTACCATCATCATAGACTTTGAATCCTCTTTGATGGGCCTCATCTGGGCCAATAGGTGAAGCAGAGACAATCTTGGTCTCTCCTGTCTGTTTGTCTTTCTCCACATTAATTTCCATGGTGCACAAAGCTTAAATGAAAACAAGAGAGGAAGTGCATGTTACAACAAAAAAAGCCAGTGAACGGTTAATTGCCAAACAGACAAAGAAAACTACGGTGCCCCTTTTCCTACCTCCTGCTTCTAAAGGCCAAGCGTTCTACGTTAGAGGTGGGATGCAACACTGTGGACAGAAACAGTTATTATACTATAGCTTTTTATGCAGCTGGAGGCTAGCATACCTGTGGCAAACAGGACCTAGTCTTCCAGCTCAATCTGCATGGAGCTGTTTCTGATCAATCAGGAGCACCAAGAGCACTTGGGTTAGGTGCAATTTAGACAAAGGAAGGTGACAGCATGCAGGTTGCCCTCAACCTTTCTGGACTTGCCTCAAAATTCAGATAGAAGCTCATCTCCAGGAGCCTCACTATTCTCTTTTTCATTCTCTGCCATCAAACTGACAAGTTAGCTGGTAACAAGTTTTGTTTACTGCAAATTAACCCCCAGAATGTTTTACTATCAATGATTGTTCTTGCTTAACTCTTCCATCTGAAGCATTCAAAACATTTTATAGAGGAGAAGAAACATTGTTTACCCTGTTCTACAGGTGGGAAAACAAAATCACACACAATGGGATAAATTCTCCCTCAGATGCATGGCAGTGCAACTCTCTCAGCTTCCACCAAGGCATTGACAGTGACAGTGACTTCTGCTTGCAAGTTAAGAGAATGTACAAAATGGCCAAGAAGTGCTCCGTTGTTTAGTTGGTGTACTAAGCACCACTGCCAAAGATGAAGGAAAAAGTAATAATAAACTGATTTTCAAAGCGTCATGAAACAGCAGGTGAAAACGTGTGTGAGGAATGCGGCTTTAGAATAGCAAAGAAGCTTTTATTGTATCAGTTAAGAAAGACGCAGTAACAAGATGAAAATTGTAGAGACCACACAGTAGCAATAGGTGGGCAGTCTACACTGCTCTAACTCCCATTTTGAGAGGTGGTGGCATCTCACTAGACAGCTTTTCAAGGAAAAATGTGCAAAGGTTTCACAGACTTTCCAGAAGGGTTGTGTTTTTAAGCATTCCTTATATGCAGATGAAGACATTTTGGCATCTGGACAGACATCCACAGACACATAATTACAAATTACCACAGGCAGTGACAAGTGTTTGTGAAACTTATGGTGACCGTTTCCACCAATGAACCTTATAATTGTGATTTGTCTTACCTGGGGACACTGCAAACTGACATCTTGTTTTTTTCCCCTGATTTATTTTCAACTGAGTACAGAATATCCTTGCCTCAAAAACCAATGTAGCTTGGTATGCTTGTATTTTAAAAAAATGAATTAAAAATTACTTTTGCATTAATAGATTCCATTAGTCTTATTATTCACACAGAATAGTATTTTCTTTTCTGGATCTTTAAAGCAAAGTATTTAATCATCAAAAGGAAGTTTATTATGATTGTGCACCACGATTCCCCCCATAGTTCTAGACTTTGCGCACTGCTTAACTGGGTGCATGCTGGCCTCTGCAAGGTGGCCTCCTCTGGCCCCTGGGTGCGCTGTCTAGTGGGCAGCCCAGCCAAACGGGGGGTCTGTCCGTCTATGTGCTGTGTGCATCTGCTGAGACCTTGGTCAGCCCTGGCAGGACTGGTTTGGCCAACTGCAACACCATACAAACTCCTGCATGGAGGCAGAGGACAGAGGTGCCACGGGGTGAAGGGGCCTTGCTGCCTCTGAGAGTGATGCATTGCTGAAGGTTGGAGTGGGCTGTGGATCTCACTTTGGCTATTGCAAGATAGGGAAATATCCCTAAGGACCACATTTTGCCACTGCTTTGCAAGGTTTATGGGCTAACTGTGTCCATAGCTGTCATGACCCTGAGCACAGGTCGCCCATTTTCACAATGAAGCAGGGCTAGCTGACAGAGGGGAGATTTAGATTAGACATTATGAAGAAACTTTTACTGTGAGGGTGGTGAAGCACTGGCACAGGTTGCCCAGAGAAGCTGTGGCTGCCCCATCTCTGGAAATATTCAAGACCAGGTTGGACAGGCCCTTAAGCAACCTGGACTAGAGGGAGGTGTCCCTGTCCATAGCAAGAAGATTGGGACTAGGTCCCTTTAAGGTCCCTTCCAACCCAAACCATTCTATGATTCTATGATTCTGTGATTTCAGTTTTCTGATCTCCCTCCGAATCTGTTTTTTCTTGAAAGCGTTCATGCCTGATTGCCCCAGAGCAGGCCAAGCAGCTAGGAGGAGGAGGAGGCTGCAGGGGTGAAAGCTGGGCTCTTCTCCAAGGTGTGTGGCAGCCATCATGGACTGGAACAGGAGAAATTTAGGTTGGAAATAAGGAAAAACACTGTCGCTCCAGAGCTGGAAGCAATTAAACCCTGAAGGAGGTTGCTCTGAGGAGCTGTGGCAGACTGTACCATGGTGTGGCTAAGAGAGCAGCTGGCATGGATCATTTGCTTGGGACTGTTCCTGCCCAGGAGCTAATTGGTGAGTGCCCTGCAAGTCTTGTGCAAGTACCTCTGCCCTGAAGCCTTTAATTCAACTTACAGAGGTAATGAAACAAAAATATGTAGGTGCCATCACCCTGGAATTTGTACCCTTCTAGGGGCAATTTCTCTGGAAGGGGTGAGAGGGATGAGGAAAGGAAGAGGAATTATGTTTACTGGCTTGTTACCCCAAGCCATGGGGAAGTGGACCCTGAACATTGCTGTTCAGGCATATATTGTTCAATAACTTCCAACACTGCAGAGGTAAGTATAGAGGTTGGCTAGCCTATGGTGAAGAGGTTAAAGCTGACACTTTTGCATGTTTTCTAGTGACAGCCAGCTGAACTGAAGAGATGAAGGATGAGGTAGCAACAGCATGTTCAGAAAATCATCTCTAACAGGCAAAAACATTCCTCATTTGTCCTGAACACCACAGCCCTGCAGAGGAGGCACTGCCAGCTCACTGACCCACCCACCTTCTTCTTGATGAGAAGCAGCATCCTGAGCTCCCCTGTGGAGATCATGTGCTTCTCCTCTTTTTTGAAAAATAACAGTATTATCTGAGGCATGATTTTTCAGTAAAGACTGCTTAATTTCCTGTGAAATAGTTGAGTGCCTTGTTATTGCACTTAGTTTTAGTGCAGAAAAAGGTGTAATCTGCCAGGCCTCCCCTATTTTGACGAAACAAATTTCTTCCGGCAGTGTGCATTAAAAGAAAGCTTGTATAGTGGGCCTGAATTCAGAAACAGGGAAAATCTGATAGTTAAATAACGTGGGCTTGGCCATATCCGTTTCAGAAGAGTTGCAAGATACATCTTTTTGTCTATGGCATGGAGTACTGGTAAGAAACATCTTACCTACTAGGGAGACTTTGGCCAACAAGTTCTAGCACTGATTAGACATCCTATTGGCTGACCTGATCTAGAAAGTTAACAGGTATGGTCCTTGTGCAGCTTATGTTTGGCTCATTTGGTTAAGTTTTTCCACTAGCAACATTTTCTTTTCATTTCTACCATGATTTCAGCAGCAGTGTTTTAGATATTGGTATAACATGTGGTTTATCACCTGGCATAGGCATCACATTAAAGCTACTTGTGCAAGTAAATGCATAGCATGCTCAAGTTTTTTAGAAAGCTGTTTAATAGGGAAATACATTGCCATAGGAGAAGTGGGTAACTGAACTTGGCTAACCTGCCTGTATGCATAGTGCTCAATCTCTGCAGGAAAACCTAGCAGCCCAGCTTGTCAAAGTAGCTGAAAAATGAACTAATGTAGATTTCTAAAATGTCTTTATTTAACTAGAGCTTATTTATGGCAAAATGTGCTCTATTAATACAACACAAAACTATCTGGTTTTTGAGTTGGGACAGAAAGCAGTACTTGAAGATGACAGTCTGTATTCACAAATATGAGTTTTCTGCAAAAGCTTTTATTAGAAAGTAACATGATGCAGTACTTCATGACAGTAAGATCCCAACATGCAGATGGAATGAGCTGGCTTCTGCCAGTTTTGTGGGTTCAGAGGCTGTTCTTTCAAAGAAAAAAAATTTCAATAGTCTTTGAGCTTGTTTTAAGATGGATGTTTACAGTCTACTTTTAGGCACATATGCTGATGTTTTTTCTTTACCCTATTGCACCACACAATACTCTTATCAAGGACTATGTGAAAAAGTCTTGTGTGTCATCTGAAGAATGAAAGAAATTGTTTCCTTGGTGTTGACAAATAGCACAAAACACACAGGGAAAAGCTTGCTTTTAAGACAGATTAGGGAAAGTACTGGTGGAAAGGAAGTTTTTGGAACGGCTTGCGACATGACTTCTGAACAAAATGACATATGCTGTAGCTGTATACAGTGTCTTAGCTCCAGACATAGCTTTGCTATGCTTGTTAACCCATCCTTCAAGTATCCTTCCCACTCCTTAGGACACCTTTTAAGTAGCCACCAACAATTTGGTCTTGAGATAGGGAATACATTGTTTAGAAAAAGAAGGATCTTGAAAATGAGAAAAACATACAGCTTTTAACAATCATGTTGTTACATTTAAGACATGTACTGAATCTGAAACAAAAAAAGTTAGAAATTTCTCTGTATGACTCCAAGCACAAAACATGTCATAATTCTCCCCACCTTTTCCCCAATAAGAAAGAATGGCATATAAATAAGTATAAAATAACATAAACTTTTGAAGCACATGTGGGGTCCTGTGAGTATCTCTTTTTCTCATTCATCTTAATGGGAGCTGCACGGATACAATGGAGGAGACAAAACCTTGGCCTAGGTACCATATATTTGTATCTGATGAAGAGATGGAAAGAACTGAATGTTTCTATGTAAAAACCTGGACACATTTCCTATCCCACTTCTGTGTAGCTCATTGTTTTGAAAGTAGTACATTGTTTTGAAAGTACTCATTACTGCTCAAAAAGCCTTGATTTATTTACAAAATACAAATCAAGTGGCATTTCCTAGCATTTAAATGATATCAGGACACCAAACCCATTAAGGTAATATAACAAATAAAGTTCATGGCTACTGGACTGGTATTATAATACTTTGTTCCTTGAGACTTACCAGCTACTCTGCTTGCTGCGTCCCACCCAGGAACTGGCTCTGCTGTTCGTGAATAGAGGGTTGGGAGTTCAGGGATCTGGGAGTAAATGTAATTTACTGCATCTGGTGTCAGAGAACAGGAAACAGTTAGATTCGTGCTTTGAGCTCCAGTGGCTTATTGCTTAGACAGCAGTGTTGTCAGCCCTGACAATAGTCACTGGAGCTTTGTACTAGATAATTGGATCAAAGCAAACAAAGTGCAGAGTCACTGTCGTGTGATTGGTGTTCAATAGACTAGCTGAGGCAGGAGGGAATGGGTCCAGATGACTCAAACCTTATGTCAATTGAACACATAAAATTATTTGCCAGGAGGTTCTGGATTTATGAAGTCCATGACCTTTAAAATGGGAGCGAGAGTGGAGGAAGTTAAGGAGCAAACCTAACGTCATACCCAGAATACATGACATTTCAAATACACACAAAAGGCTAAAAATGGTAGTGTTGACTGAGTTGGGTAAAAGTCCACTTTGCACTGGCTTTTTGTTTTTAAAGCTGAAATCTTGTTAGCAATGAAATTAATTACATATAGATACTGATAGGCTGCCTGTTATGACCTTCAGTAGGTATTAAGTGCCTGCCAGTGCTGCAGTGCCATTATTCATTCATAAAACATGGACTAGTAGAAAGCTATCTTAAAGGACTGACTTGTTTTACACTTGAGCTTATGATTGTTTTGAATAAGCGAAATATGTTTTTTAGAAGTGGGATTAAATAAATATACAAATATTTACCAGGAGATGTTTTGTGGCTTGGTTAAATATAACTATATAGTATATACTGTTATGCTAGGATTCAGTGGCTGAACTGAAAGAAAATCTCAGAGGAGAGATGTGCTAATAACTGACTTAATGTTTAGGCACCAAACCAAAAAGAAAAACAAAAACCCACAGCTTTTCCCATCAACTGGAAGTGTTTTCATTTTTTGTATGGAAAAGGTTTAATTTCTATTCAAACATAAGATCCTATCTGGTGTGAAACAGAGCATCTTTTTTCCTCCAAGGGTATTTTGCTGCTACAATATATAATTTAAGTTGCTGAGCCCTTCGTGCAGCCTAGTCCATGTGTCAAGGTAGGAGGCAGAATCTGCCTTCCTTGGTGCCTCTTGTTGTAGGCAGCTGAGATTAGAAGATCAGTCCAGACCATAAAAGTGAACTGGTAAAAGGAGAGAGAAAATGAAATGTCCTGCTGTAGGCTGCTTGACTGCATCTGGTGAGGGGAGATACTTTCATCACGTTCCCTATAGCTAACACCCATATATATCATATTTCAGTGGACAAATGGCAGTCTTGTGCTTTTATATTTTCAATGCATAGTTTCCTCAAAAATTTTTATTTTTAACAGTGGAGCCTAGGAGAAATAATTGTTTAGGACACAGCTGACTGAGGAACAGCCAGCAATAGCTTTTTTCTTTTGCGGAGTGTCTTGCATCTGATGAGAAACTGGTACAATGCTTGATGTTGTTATTCTGGGAAATATCATCAGAAAATGAGCAGGCCATTATTGAAAACTGAAGCAATTTCTCAGAAGAAAAAAGTAGGGACTGTGTTTCTAGGCCAGAATAAGAAGGCAGTTTGTATTCTGAAAACAGCAGAAATTTATTGATTATTCATCCCATGGAGCATACTGCTGAAACACTGGTTTCCGTACATGCTCATCCAGCAGCTTGAGTGACAAACTTATCTGTCTACATGTGGCTGTAATCAGCGCAGACTTGTGCCTCTTAACTAATCATCCTTACTTCTTTTGAAGTCAATGAGAATAAATAGGCATGGTTAGGGTACAGTTCTCATCCTGAGGCTCTGAGGAGGCAAACCCTCGAAAATGTTTGGGTTTTGCCAGTGCCTGTACAGGGAACTGAGCTGACCAGCCTGGACACCAGCATTGCTGATGTCTAGCAGTACGCAAGATCCATTGTATAGTTTGATGGTGAAACCCTCGTTTTAACGATGTACATGTATGTCTGTGGATCTTAGAAAGTTTTTGATTGTTTTTTTTTTTTTTCCTCCTGTGTTAGGAGACAATACTTTGGTAAGTGTTAGTTGCTGTTAATACTGACTCAGTTTAGAAACTTCTCTTGATGTTAGTTAGAGTAAAATATTAAAAAATCAGCTTCAGGGCTCCTGACAGCCTCTAATTATTGTCCTGAGAAGGAAGCACTATGTTGGGGGAGAGGGGTTTGGGGGGTGAGCATGGGATTCTCATGTACTTTCTTCTTCTGGCATGTGTCAAAAACAGGTTATTTGAGTAGAAGAAGTTTGGGCTTGGTTGATCCTGCCAGTTCTTTTCTTGCCCTCCCTCCCTCTAAAAGAAAGTGAGCATGCTCATTGCCCTTTTTCTCACTGGCAACAACGTCTGTTTCATTTAGCACCTTTAAAAAGGATATAAGAGATCCATTTTATAAGGAGTGGGTGAGATGCAAATTAGCAATTTGTTCTCATGAGAAGCGAGGCAGAACATAAATTAAAGCATTTGAACTGACTGTATTAAATAACTTCATTTCAACCTTTGATGAGTTATTAATATCTAAGGATGACATAAAACAAGTTCTCTGGCTTTTTGTACTATTTACAACAAACTGTTTTAGGACTATGGCACTCTTCCATATTGTCAGCGAAGCGCTTAGGAAAACATATGGGGTAAAATAATCCTTCAAGGGTGCTTACACAAAACTAAACCTTCAGAACTGCTCAGAATAAATCCCACACAGAGGCTTGTGGCCAAATGTCAGATGAGCTCATTTTCAAAGGGCTGGATTGTCTTTAAAATGTCTGACTACTACTAAAATCAGTGGTAGGTCTTTTGTAAATACTGGCTCCAAGGGCAGGGCTGTTCCACATGTAAAACCCTAAGGCCCTTCACAGGGGTACAACCGAGATTATGACCCTCTCACCACGTTTCTGAGACTAGAAGGTTTAAGCAAGAAGCTTTGCTAAAAGCTGAATAGCCTGTTTCTGACTTAGTGAATCACGCTTTAAACAACTAACTTGAGGGGTAGATTTCACAGCTGACCTGTATATCTATAAGCAATAGGGTGGATGAATGCAGCTAACAGAGCAATAAGGAATGCTCCCTAAGCCTTTCCAAAGGCAAGAACCCTAAATTCAGCCACCTAAAGTGCATGTATACCTCCCAGTGAGGATGACAAAGCCAACAAAACCTTACTTTGGGTGATCAAAGAAGTCTTGGGCCAACGGAACCTGGTCCTCATGGGTGGCTTCAGTTACCCAGACATTTGTTGGGGGAAAAGAAAAAAAATGGCACACAAGTTGTCCATGAAGTTCCTGGAATGCTATGAGATCTGCCTCCTGCTACAGATGCTGGATGTGCAAACTAGGAGCAGCACATTGATAGATTTACTGCTCTCAAATTGAGAAGACTTTCTTAACAACGTAAATAGCAACGATAGCCATGGATACAGTGACCACAGCACTGCGGAGTTGAAGATCCCGCTGAGCACACCGAAGACCAGTAGTAGGACAAAGACCCTGAATTTTAGAAGCACCAACTTCAATATGCTCAGAGCCCAGCTGTGAGGGATTCTATGGGAAGCATCTATGGATGGTGAAGGAGCCTGTCAGTGATGGGAGTTATTCAAGAATATCTGCTGAAACTACAAGAATGGTGCATCCTTTACAAATGGAAAGGAAGAAGGCTGAATGGAAGACCACCTTGGCTTAAGAATGAGTTTTTAGGTCTAACTAAATGCAAAAAAAAAAAAAAAAAAGCAGCATACCAACTATAGAAAGAGAGCCAAATAGCGATTGAGGACTACAAGATCCTTGCTAGGGCATGCAGAGATGCAGTCGGGAATGCTAGGTCTCAGCCAAATCTGAAATTGCCAAAAGATGTGAAGTACAAGAAGTAAAAGTTCTTCAGATTTGTGAGCAGTTAGCAGAAGCTCAGGGAAGATACAGCCCCATTGCTAACACAACAAGAAAATAAGTCCTTAACAATGCTGCCAAGGCAGATGTTCTCAATACCTTCTTTGAGCCCCTGTCCCTACTGGCATAGACCCCAAATGATAAGATCAAGTAGCTACAATAACTCATATGTTGACCTGCCATTAATGGGTAAAGAGCTGGTCTGTGGCCTCTTGTAAAGATCTCTCCAATGGCTGACATTGTTGGAAGGAGACTTTCTATACTCTTTGAAAGTCATGTAGATAAAGGTGTGTCCCTGATGACTGGAAGAGGGAAAATGTCATACCCATCTACAGGAAGGGAGCAAAAGAGGACCTAGGATAGTAAAGGCACATTGGTCTTACTTCACCTCATACGAAAGTGATGGATGAGTCCTTCTAGAAACTGCTACAAACTAAATGAAGCAGGTGATTGAGAAAAGTAAGCATGGGTTTACTACGGGCAAATCATGACAGACTAACCTGATTACCTTCTACAACAGAATAACATCTTCTGTTGACATGGGGAAATCAGTGGATGTTGTTTACCTGTACTTCAGCGGAGCTTTTGACACTGTTTCCCACAGCCTTTTCCTGGACAAACAGGCAAGTTACTGATTGGATAAGTGGTCTGTGAGATGGGCAGGAAAGGCTAACAGGCTGAACTCAAAGGGTGATGATCAATGTTTTTTACTCAGGTGGCCAGAAGTGGTGTAACTGTGGCAGCCATCAATACAGACCAAATTAAAGAGTTACTTAAAACACTGCAACTGAAAAACAATCACTGATGAATTTTTACAGGGCACATGGAAAGCACTCTGCAAAGATGTGTACTTGACTCCTCTGAGGGCACGTTTGTCTGATTTTTTGTTGGGTGCACAGCTGATCAAGATCAGAGGAGAGAAAATCAGAAGTCTCTAAGCAATATGCTGGGAACTTAATCTTTTCAGAGCCACATGTTTGCTAAATATACACTAATACACATCAAATTCAAACAGAGTTTTATGCAAACTGCAGAGTTAATGTAATTGTGGCTTTTGTACATTGGCTGAAGTAGCATGTGGTTGCATATAGATGGCCAAAGACTGCAAACAATGAATTTACCCCTGAGGCAAATTCAACAGCCAAGGGAGTTACATCAGATTTTAATGTGTCTTTGGGTTTATATTTACATTGAGCCATAAACATAGACACATGCAGACCAAGAGCTCTCTCCATTTGTTCATGATGTGCATAAAGCATAACACTACCAAATGACTAATTTTGACCTAAGCAGCAACAGATGATGTCATTCCTAGCATCGTCTCAGGTCTTGTTTAACAGGGAGTTTATCAGTGACAAAGGCACCAAGGAGCTGGCAGAAGCACAACTACAGGTGAGAGGGCACCAGACTTCAGCCTCAGCATTTCAGCTCTGCTTTCTCTGTGTGATGATGTATGAAGGCAAAGTGTGTTTATACCTTGGAAAACATGGGATTTGCACTTATTGTTTCTGGATGACTGCAAGCTCAGAAGTATGCATTGCCAAACAACTGTTTTCTGGGAAGGGTGAGAAGGACACAGAGAGTCACTTGATCAGCCACTGGTGTTCACCACCACTACTTCCCTTTCCTTGTAGCCTTTGCCTGAACCCCTCAGGGATCTAGTTGTGCTTTCTGCACACTCAAAAACTCCGTCATCACTGTATATATGGCACAAAACCAGGCACAGGTATGCAACGTGGAGATAAATCATGTTCTATGGCATCATTGTTTAGAATAAGTGGAAGGCTGGACACAAAGCAAATTAACATGAGATTTAGGAACTCGAAGTCTTTTAACAATCTGAAGCAATTGAAGAAATTGTCCAATAGATTGGGGTTGGTTTGTGTCAGTGTTTTACAGTCTTCCTGTATTATCCAAGGGCTCCTACCACTTTCCTCTGCAGGATGTGTTACAGATGGCTGCCAGACAGATGGCTGATCTGCTGCAATGAAGCAAGTCCTACATGTTTTTGAAGGAAGGAAAAGTCTATGGTACCAAAGTGCTCGCAGCTAGCTGTGTGTGTGTTTTCTTTCTGCTGTGATCAGCTACCCTCACAGACTGTTGTCAGAGAGCAGAAAACAGAGGACCTGTTCAGCTTTCACCATATGAAGATGTACAGTCACATCATGTCCACAGTGGGAGGGCTAACAGGACAGCTTGCAGCCTTGACCATCCCTAGAGGAACAGAGTACAGAATGGCTTAAAGGTTGACCCAGGACTGCCTCAGCCCACAGGGAGCAGCTGCCGAGAGAAAGAAACAAGATACATGAAGCAAATGATCTGGAAGAGAAGAGGTACCAGTTAACTTAAGTTATGCCCTGTGCTCCCTCTGATTGCACATTTATTCTGGAGACACTCTTCTCTTTGGCTTAATTTTGCAGTTTTCTGTTACACTCCAGAAATCAGGTACTGTCCTTGCTTCTGACTCAGCCTGTGAGGGTGAGATCCACGGGAAGTAGGCAAAATCTGGATAACAGTGAGGCTTTGAACCCAATGAAATACTAAATTCCTACAAGAAAATATATTTGAGGAAACTATTGCTTCCTGTTTTCTAGCTGGGGCTTCCTTTGGTTTCTTGTTTTATCACAATGTGCATAAAGAGCAGACCATGTCTTGCAGGAGTCATAAAAGCTCCTGCGCAGTTTGGGAGCTAATTCCTCTAGGCACCACTCCTCTTTTGGAAACCTACCAACAACCATGGTGAAACTCTATTTTATAGGTATAAAATATTTGCCATTATGGATCTTCATGTACTTTGTGATAGCTGATTTCAAATGCTCAAGGAGGAAGGAAGAGTAAGTTCTGAACATGGAGCATCTTATCTGAGACTTTGTTTCTTTTTTTGACAATGGGATTTAATGTAAAACTTAGATTATATTTAGCAGAAGTGAAAATTTCTGAACTACATCTCTGACTTGAAAAAAAGAAAACCCTTTTCCTGAGAAATATTAATCACTTCAAAAAGACAACTTCAAGTCAGTTCATATACTACATATTAACATTCAGTTGCATCCAGTTCTTTAATGTTAGGATCATGCTACATGCTCTTCATCAATACTTCCAATACAGCTGGGCATGGCTTTGTCAGGAGCTGGAGGAGCTATTCTTGGGCTCAGTAGTTTGAATCTCATCAGTTCAAAGACGTGTATGAGAATGAGCATCTGGATTTAAGTTTTATCTGCCGATGGATCAGCATGATATCCTTCTTTGGTCCTAAAGGTCCTGGAGAGGCACTACGACGGTCTGTCTAGCTTCCTGGAAACCAAACATCTCATTTGCTCACTCAGACACCTAAATTTATAGCTCAATGTTTAGAGTGATCACACATGGTGTGATAGAGTTCATAAACTAGGAATTATTAGGCCCTCATCCACCTATGCAACATTTTCCTTCTGTAAGAATCATCATGCCAAGAATATAATTCTTCAGTGAAGAAATCTGATATAAGCAGTTGTTCCTGTATATTAGGAATAGTTCTTATTGTATTTAACTTCCTATTTAACTCATTAAATTGTATTTAACTTCCTATTTAACTCATTAACTCTGCTTATTAACAGAACATGACTGCATGCAATGGAGAAGATTGACCACAGAGAGGTGAAAGGGAGTCTGCACTGCAGGGCTGTCATGTGGTGAAAGATAACATAGAAGTTTTATTATCTCTGTTTTAAGTCATCTGTGCTGCTTTTTCCCCTTGTATGCACAAAAAAAGAGCTGGAGCTCTGCCAAAGGAATACTATTTCACCGTAATAATAATATTTCTGCTTGCACTATAGCAATACCAAAGAAGAAGGTAATGGCTCTAGCAATAAAACAGGAACATACAATGAAAAGAAGAACCCCCAATCTGTAAACCTTTGCAACAAAGCTATAATAACAATTCTTGTTAAATCCGAAGCTATACAATAATAAAAAGGCACTTACCACCATCCTGGTGTGAGAAATTCTGTGAAGGGAAAAAAAAGATATTTGATTAAACCTATTATACTTGGGGAATAATTTATATGAAAGTTTGATTTTTAAGCTAGGATTGCTTTTATGGTGCTTTGTAATTTTTAAATAAGTTAACGGGGACGTAGCTTCTCAGGTTCAGGTACCATTGGGGGCTGAGGGAGAGGGACGTAGCATAACTAAAAGGAGAACACTGCTATTTGTTGCAGGCTGTAATGGTCGGAAGTGGCAAATGACACTATGTGTGTGCTACTGGGATCAGGGAAGTTTGATATGCCTTTTTAGGGTCTTGCTGACATCTTTCGGTGTGGCCAAAAACTCACACTCTTTCCCTGCAGATAAGCTAGGGAGATAGTCTCTAAAATTCATTAAAAGCCACTTCAAAAAAATCGGAGTGGAAAGGAAAATCCAAATAACCCAACCAAAATACATCTCATGCCTCCTAGTCTTTCCTATGAGGTATCTGTGTTTTCTTTCTTTCCTCGTCTTCTATATATCTTCTTCTTCTGTATATCTTCTATATATCTTTCCTAGTCTTGTTCCTCCTGGCCTGAGCTATATGCTCTACACCTGCTCTCATTCTTCCCATAAGTGCATGAATTATGCCTGCTGCTTTCAAACAGTGCTAGGAGTCTACCTTGGTTTCAATCTGTGCCCAAGTGTCGTTTTATTTATTTTTTTTCATACCTTTTGCAAGTTGTCAAAGGATTTCTCAGTCTCCTTTAGTTTCTCCAAAATGATTTGTTCTTTGGCAGATATTTGGGATTCCTCACTTTCTAATTTCTGTATTTCTTGTTCCAGCCTGTGGAAGACAGACAGACATGCACATACACACGAAGATAAAACATGTAAGAATTATTTCAATGAGCCATAGTTTCCTGGGCATTAAATAGCATTTCAAATATCATCAGGGACAACTTTCACTCTTGTTATTCACAACTGCATTCCTAATGCATGCCGGGCATATGCTTATTTGTATATATTTGTAAAACAGACAAACTGTTTTAAACAAAACCAGTAGTTCTCTTATTATTCACTTCTGAAAAAGCATGTACAGATTAACTAAAAGTATGCCTTAACATTGCTTCATCCCAGTTCCCATAACATCCCTCAGATATGCCCTTTGATTTTATAAATCACAATATGGGATATAACCATAATTATGTGGTAATAATTAGAGGAATAGGTGTCTTCTAATGCTTCTGTATTCCAGACTATAAAACTGGAAACAGTTGGCAGTCAACCTGTTGTGTTAGGTGTTTCTCTTGAACCAGTATGTTGCCAGCTCCTCACAATCATTCTTTGGGTTATCCACCCCTGCTTTCTACGTTACTGCATGATACAGGGAACCCCAGAGGTTTCAGGTAACAAAATACACAGGCTGCTTAGTAAATAAACATATTTTCCTATGCAGTAAGCATTCAGCATTTTCATTTCTCTAGTTGAGACCTAATGGCACTTGCTCCTTAAGATGTGTTGATTGTGATTTGAGATATACACTTTAATCAGGGTTAGATTCTCCATTACTTTAACTCAAACCTCCTTTTACTGACCTGACTTATGCAGGTGCAGGAATATTCCCTCTTTCTCTATTTTTATGTATACCATAATCTTTATTTTCTCACTTTTGGAAAAAAACAACCCAAAATAAAAAAAAATCCGACTGTAATATGAGCTAGGATGAACTCTTTTGAACAAGGATAGTTACTTGAAACTTCCTTTGTCTACAGAAAGAGTTATAGCTGGTCACAGCTTGTTGGACCATATTTCTTCAAATGTAACAGATTAGCATCACCCAGTGCTTTCCTTACCCATGGCTGCTTGCTACTGCCTTTGTGCTACCACTTTTCAAGTGAAGGATCCTGAGGATCAGGATCAGTCTTAAGTGACATGTTTTTGCTCTTTCCCAGCCCTACTCAGCACAGGACTTCATTAATACTTGTTCTATCACAATGCAAAGGGCAAGGAGAAGGTGACAGTGAGCAGGTAGGGAGTAGGGAGGCAGGGATTGCTCCTTTCAGAGACTTGACAGCTTGAGTTACTTGTGAAATTCATGTATCTAAATATAGATTCGGGAGTCTAACTTAAGGAACCCACCTGGGAAGTTTTTCCCTGCTTTCTAATAGCGCACGGGTGAAAGATGTGTGGCACTTGCTGATAAATATTTTCATTAGAGGGAGGCAAAAGTGTCACAGCCTCAAGTTGCTGCAGATGGAAAAAGGCATACTTGCTCTCCTGAAGTATGTGAATACTTAACAGTAGCAAATCCTTGGTGCCTGTAGAACTGCCATTTTCCTCTCTTAAAGGCAACCCCCTCATTTCCAAGTTAAAACAGCTTAATTGCTGTGATTTTTGAATCACACAGTTGGAAAGTACCGCTCCAAGCCATGATTTTTTTTTTGATGTTTTCTCAGAACTAATAGAAAAAGTTGAAAAATGCAGACTATTTTGGAACAATATATCTTGTTCTGCATAAATGGAACAATTAATACAGGATGAATTTCTCCTCTCGTGTTGTGATTCAGGGAGAAAGTTTACAAAGAATACTGTCTCTTCTTGACTTTTCTTCCCAGGATTTTTTTTTTTTTTTTTTTTTTTAATACCTACTGAAGTGAAAAATCACTTGACACTGCAGCCAGCCATTGCCATGCTCCTGCTTCATGAATTTAGAAGTCAACAGGAAGGTGGCTTTTCTTCCTTCCCTATGCTTAGGAACAATTAGTAGATACACATGCATTTATGTCTTGTTGACAAGGATATTTAAAGTATTCTACTATGCATTCTGGTGAAATTACATTGTGGAGCTGGGTGAGTTGGGGTTTACTGATATGTTTTTTTTCTTCCCAAGTGAATCACTAAGCAGCATTTCCAGCGTACATATTCTGTAGCCTGGTACATTTTGCTCTCAGTGTGATCATAGAAAGGCTGGAAAATGGGAATTCGTAGAACTTAGTGACAGCAAAATACAGGGGAAAAAGGAAGTCTCTTTTTTTTTGGAATGAATTGAACATTAGTTATTTTTGTTGGTTCAAAAACTGAGTATAGGTGGGGTGAGGCAACTAATTTGATGTTGAGTAAGGTAATAAGCAAGTAGACTCCTTGTAATTGGGGGCAATCAAAAGTGCACAATTTTTTGTGCACCAGCTCAAAACTGTAGGTTTGCCATGAACTTTTGGGTCTTCCATAGAAAGTCTTCTTCTAATGCACGCACATATACACCTGCGCATTCACACCTTGCAATTGATCTGATTTATACTTTCTTACTTTCTGGCTACTTGCTCTGTTGCTTTTACTTGTTAATGTCTCTTTTGTACTCCCTTCCTGATTCACTTCCTTTGTTTCTGTCTCCTTTGTGCCATCCTACCCTCACCACCAAAACAAGCTGGGCAGATGGAACATTAGATGACACTATTTCAACAAGATATCTTGGTAGTCTTTTGTCCCCTCCCCCCCAACCCAACCCAAATCCCTTCTTCAGTGCCTTTTAGAAGCAGTATTAACAGCAACTTACTACTGAGGAAAGGGATGGAGACAGAGTTGCCAGGATTTAAAGACATGGGTGAAGTTGGTAGGAATAAGGATTTCCTATGTGATGCTGCAACAATGCATACATACTCATCCCATAGGTGTAAATTTCCCTTTTTTCCACTGTAATCAGTGCAGACAGACTGAGAGTCTCCTAGGCCTTGTATAGAATGGGTCTGAATTCCTAATCATGGCAGGAAAAATACTATCATTCAGACAGAATGTACCTGTTACATAGCACAGGGGTTATACACTGATCATTAATATCAGCAGAAAGTTGCTTCATACCTTTTAGGTCATTTTATGTCACTTTTGTCTGTACTCTTTAGGCTTAAATGCTGAGATAATTCCGCTGAGGCACTAAGGAAACAGAAATACTCAAGGGCACAGTTTCCATTTGAGCTATTGTACACATTCCTCAGTCAAACACCTGGCACCACAGACCTCACTGGAAAATCGAGTCCTAGAGTCTTCACCACTTCCTTTGAACTGCCTTTTTACATAAGGGCCAGTAGTATATTAATTAAAATCATAATGCAAACTGAAGGTTGTTTTGCATGCTTTATTTTTTTAGTGAGCTTCATATTATCAGAACTGCTAAATGATAAGATCTGCATGTTTTGTTTTTTTTTTTTTTTTTTTAAGAAGATACAACAGAGGCATGCAAATTTGGTTTGAATAAAAGAAGTTCATTAATACCACATCTGTTTTGAGTGCCATACTACATGATGATTTAAACAGTAATAAATTCATTAAGAGTGCACATGTACAGGTACATACATATACAAAGTGCCTACATTCTTCCTGTGTAAACTTGTTAAATATTGAATAATGTCTTTTTCTTCTAGCACAGTTTAAAAACAATGTGCCTTAATTGTCATTTGACACCTGGCAAGGAAACATTATAATTCACTGGTTTCTGCTTTCTTAGCAGATTTCAGGCTGGTTTGAAAGACAGCCACAACAACAGAGCCAGTTAAATAAACAACTACAATGTCTGGAGTGCTGTTGGGAAAAAAATAAGAATGAAAACAGAGATCCAGATGAGGCAGAAGTGGTGTAAAGCAAACCACTAGTATTGCTGCTTATTAGCCCAAGCTGTTATCTGATCACTGGGATTTGCTAAATTGTTTATATAAGGAGAAAAAGTGGGTCAGGGAGTCTGAAGCTGCTTTGGCACAGGCATGTTTTTTTTCAGTGGACGTGTACAGAACCGTATTTCCCCAAATGTCACAGGAACAAAGAAGGGAGATTTCACCATTCTGAAAGCCAAGCCCGCCTTGCTGCTAGTCTATCTGTCCTGCAGCTTTCTTTAATGGACGGCTGCCATAAGCAACTGATTTTTAGGGCATAAGATTTTTAGGGGAGCTGAGAAGAGTTGCCCATCTAAGCCAGGTAACCCTCATGTTCATGCTAATAGTTCTGTCCTACTATGAGGGAGAAGAAAGCATGAACAGCAGAAGGGATGCTGTCTTTTGGACAGCATTTTGCTGTCGGTAGGGGCACCCTGATCCCTTGGTTATTGAGATTACAGGCTTGTAGGATAATTCAGGATGGCAGTGATCTTTGGAGGTCTCTAGCCCAACCTGCTGCTCAAAACAGGCTCAGCCATGAGATTAGGCCAGGATGCTCATGGCTTCTTCCAGCTGGGGTTTGGAATTCTGCAATGATGGGCAAAGAGGAAAGGTGGGGGAAGTTACGGAATACTTAAGGCTACTCACAAGATTTCTCTTTTACAATCTGTAGCTATGAGACATCAGGTCCCACAAAACTCAGACCAGAACAGTTCAATAATACAGGGGAAGGGTATGCACCAGCTTGCTAAAGGAAGCCTGGTCTGTATATTTGTTGGGATTTTGACATAAGCAGGTTGCCACATGAGCGTAGGCAAAACGGGCAGAGTAGTTTCTGAGAGGACTGGGGGCAGAAGCAGTAAATGAACCCTTCTGCAGAGATGTTGGGAACAAGAACCAAAGGAGCTGTCAGACAGCACAGAAGGCTTCAGTTTAGGTGATGAAAAGTGGAGATAAGAAGGGAAGTCTAAGAGGTGAAGAGGCATAAGGACAGGTTTGATAATTTGGTATGTGTACGTGTGCAGTTATGCTAAGCATTCAGTACCCAAGAAGCATTACATTTGGATATAGGGCTCTGTTTTGTGCTCCGGACTGAACTTGATGAATGAACTTTCTCTAGGTGAAGGATTTCCTCTGTTTCTACACTAAGACATTGAAACCTGCAGACCTGGGCTGTCACTTTCCTCCTTACTGAAAGGCAGAG